ATCTACCAATTTTATTGTTTTTTGGTGAACCAAGAAATTGTTTGAATGCTTTTCAAAAAGATAAATATTATTAAATACAAATTTTTTTTAAAATAATAAATTTATGTAATGTGCAATTATTTAATTACCAAATCTCGGTGGATAATATCATTTTCATGTAGACATGAAACAGCTGATGCAATCTCATATGCAAATTTCAATTTTAAATCCCAATTGATTGATTTGGACTTTTTTTGTAGGTAGCTCCTTAATGTTCCACTATCTGCATACTCAAGGACCAATAAATATTTGTCATTTCCTTTGTATATAAATATAAATATTAGTTAATAGAAATGTTGTATGTGAGATTGAAATTTATAATTAAAATTTTGGGGTGGGGTGTTTGGATATGAAATTCTGATTGGCTAATTTGAATTCCCATGTGAATTGCAAATTCACATAGATTTCATTTTCACGTAACTGAAGCAAAATTAAAATAGTAAATAATTTAACATACCTTCATTCTTAGTGACACCATAAAAATGAATAATATTTTGATGGTAGTCAACTTTGCGTAACAATTTCAACTAATTGAGCAAATATTATTGTTAGTTGAAAAATTTTTTTAATCCACAATCAAATATATTGTAACTTACCTCATTAATAACTTCCTTCATATTTGTTATATCATATTTATAGGATTTCAAGGCAAAAGTACTGCTATTGCTATATATTGCTTTATAAACTTTTCCAGAACCACCTGAACCAATTTTTTGAATATTTTTAAAGCTACTATATTTATAAAAATTAATGTGTTCATTCTGAATTGCCACATTAAGCCATTCTACCCAATTATCCTTAGGTTTATCAATGATTACTTTGTTTTCATTAAGTATTCCATTGTTTGGCTCACCCTTTGTTTCTTTGCTATCTTGACTAATTAGAGGTGATGGTGATTTGGATAATTGTGGTGAAGGAATTTCTTGTAGTTCTTCAACTAGATGATGTTTTAATAAAGTTTACTTTGTGTTGTAAAAACTAATTTATAATATAATACTTACTTTCTAAGAAATAAAAAATAAAATTATTTAATTAGATGATGTTTTAATAAAGTTAATTGTATATATAAAAGTTAATTTATAATATAATACTTACTCACTGTTATTATAAAAAAATAAAAAATAAAATTATTTAATTAGATGATGTTTTAATAAAGTATATTTTGTGTTTTAAAAGTTAATTTATAATATAATACTTACTCCCTGATTATTATAAAGAAAAAAAACAAATTATTTAATTAGATGATGTTTTAATAAAGTTTATTTTGTGTTGTAAAAGTTAATTTATAATAAAATACTTACTCCCTAGTTATTATAAAGAAATAAAAATAAAATTATTTAATTAGATGATGTTCTAATAAAGTTTATTTTGTGCTGTAAAAGTTAATTTATAATATAATACTTACTCACTGTTATTATAATGGAATAAAAAAAACAAATTATTTAATTAGATGATGTTTTAATAAAGTTTATTTTGTGTTGTAAAAGTTAATTTATAATATAATACTTACTTTCTAAGAAATAAAAAATAAATTATTTAATTAGATGATATTTTAATAAAGTTGATTTTGTGTTTTAAAGTTAATTTTATAATGTAATACTTACTAACTAGTTATTATAAAAAATAAAAATAAAAAAATTTAATTAGATAATGTTTTAATAAAGTAAATTTTGTGTTGTAAAAGTTAATTTATAATAAAATACTTACGATCTATGAAATAAAAAATAAAATTATTTAATTAGATGATGTTTTAATAAAGTTTATTTTGTACACAGTAAGTCTCGGTATAGCGGATGTCTAATAAAACTCTTGGTTTAACGGATCAAAGCTCAGAACTGTCTATAAGTAAATTCTCTTGGTTTAACGGATTTACTAATTAAATCTTGAATTAATCTCGGTGTAATGGATTTTTGAAATTTTTGTTCTAATTGCCCAAATTATCCGCTATACCGAGACTCACTGTGTATTGCAAAAGTTAATTTATAATATAATATTTACCATCTGGTTATTATAAAAAAATAAAAAATAAAATATTTAATTAAATAATGTTTTAATAAAATTGATTTTGTGTTATAAAAGTTAATTTATAATGTAATACTTACCAACTAGTTTTATAAAAAAAATAAAAATAAAAATATTTAATTAGATGATGTTTTAATAAAGTAAATTTTGTGTTATAAAAGTTAATTTAATAATATAATACTTACTCCCTGGTTATTATAATGAAATAAAAAAACAAATTATTTAATTAGATGATGTTTTAATAAAGTTTATTTTGTGTTGTAAAAGTTAATTTATAATATAATACTTACAATCTAAGAAATAAAAAATAAAATTATTTAATTAGATGATGTTAATAAAGTTTATCTTGTGTTGTAAAAGTTAATTTATAATATAATACTTACCCTCTGTTATTATAATGAAATAAAATAAAAATATTTAATTAGATGATGTTTTAATAAAGTTTATTTTGTGTTGTAAAAGTTAATTTATAATATTACACTTACCATCTGATTATTATAATGGAATAAAAAAACAAATTATTTAATTAGATGATGTTTTAATAAAGTTTATTTTGTATTGCAAAAGTTAATTTACAATATAATACTTACCAGCTGGTTATTATAAAAATAATAAAATAAAATTATTTAATTAGATGATGTTTTAATAAAGTTTATTTTATGTTTTAAAAGTTAATTTACAATATAATACTTACAGTCTAAGAAATAAAAAATAGAATTATTTAATTAGGTAATGTTTTAATAGAGTTGATTTTGCATTGTAAAGTTAATTTATAATATAATACTTACCAGCTGGTTATTATAAAAAAATAAAAAATAAAAATTATTTAATTAAATAATGTTTTAATAAAGTTGATTTAGTGTTATAAAAGTTAATTTATAATGTAATGCAATACTTACCAACTAGTTATTATAAAGAAATAAAAAATAAAAATATTTAATTAGATGATGTTTTAATAAAGTAAATTTTGTGTTATAAAAGTTAATTTATAATATAATACTTACCAGCTGGTATTATAAAAAATAATAAAATAAAATTATTTAATTAGATGATGTTTTAATAAAGTTTATTTTATGTTTTAAAAGTTAATTTACAATATAATACTTACAGTCTAAGAAATAAAAAATAGAATTATTTAATTAGGTAATGTTTTAATAGAGTTGATTTTGTGTTGTAAAAGTTAATTTATAATATAATACTTACATTCTAAGAAATAAAAAAGAAAATTATTTAATTAAATAATGTTTTAATAAAGTTGATTTTGTGTTATAGAAGTTAATTAATAATATAATACTTACCAACTAGTTATTATAATGAAATAATAAATCAAATTATTTAATTAGATGATGTTTTAATAAAGTTTATTTTGTGTTGTAAAAGTTAATTTAATAATATAATACTTACTCCCTGGTTATTATAAAATAAAATTATTTAATTAGATGATATTTTAATAAAGTTTATTTTGCGTTGTAAAAGTTAATTTATAATATAATACTTACCATCTGGTTATTATAAAATCAAATTATTTAATTATATGATGTTTTAATAAAGTTAATTTTGTATTGCAAAAGTTAATTTATAATATAATACTTACCATCTGGTTATTATAAAATAAAATTATTTAATTAGATGATGTTGATTTTGTGTTATAAAAGTTAATTTATAATATAATACTTACTCACTGGAATAAAAAATCAAATTATTTAATTAGATGATGTTGAAGATAAAGTTTATTTTGTGTTATAAAAATTAAATTATAATATAATACTTACCAGCTGGTTATTATAAAAAATAATAAAATAAAAATATTTAATTAGATGATGTTTTAATAAAGTTTATTTTATGTTTTAAAAGTTAATTTACAATATAATACTTACCAGCTGGTTATTATAAAAAATAATAAAAAAAATTATTTAATTAGATTATGTTTTAATAAAGTTTATTTTATGTTTTAAAAGTTAATTTACAATATAATACTTACGGTCTAAGAAATAAAAAATAAATTATTTTAATTAGATGATGTTTTAATAAAGTTGATTTTGTGTTGTAAAAGTTAATTTATAATATAATACTTACATTCTAAAAATAAAAAATAAAATTATTTAATTAAATGATGTTTTAATAAAGTTGATTTTGTGTTATAAAAGTTAATTTATAACATAATACTTACTCACTGGTTATTATAAAGAAATAAAAAATCAAATCATTTAATTATATGATGTTTTAATAAGTTGATTTTATGCTGTGAATGCCAATTTATAATATAATACTTACCAGCTGGTTATTATAAAGAAATAAAAAATCAAATTATTTAATTAGATGATATTGAAGATAAAGTTTGTTTTGTGTTGTGAAAAGCCAATTTATAATATAATACTTACAAACTTATTAAAAAATCAAATTATTTAATTAGACAATGTTTTAATAAAGCTGATTTTGTGTTGTAAAAGTTAATTGATAATATAATACTTACATTCTAAGAAATAAAGGATAAGGTATTTAATTAGATGATGTTTTAATAAAGTTTATTTTGTGTTGTAAAAGTTAATTTATAATATAATACTTGCCATCTATAAATAAAAAATAAAATTATTTAATTAGATGATGTTTTAATAAAGTTGATTTTGTGTTGTAAAAGTTAATTTATAATGTAACACTTACCAACTAATTATTATAAAAAAATAAAAATAAAAATATTTAATTAAATAATGTTTTAATAAAGTTTATTTTGTGTTGTAAAAGTTAATTTATAATATAACATTTACCTTCTGATTCTTATAAAGAAATAAAAAATAAATTATTTAATTAGATGATGCTTTAATAAAGTTGTTTTAGTATTGTAAAAGTTAATTTATAA